TTCCTCCTGTATATGAAAACGCATTTTTAATGACTTCACTAATTTCCCTCAGTTTTTACTTTTTTGAAGGAGGGGGTTGAGAGAGGGTCTCATTACTTAACTGAGGCTATCCTCCAACTCATTATGTAGACCAGGCTGGCCTTGAACTCATGATCCTCCTATCTCAGCCTACTGAGTGCTGGAATTATACACATGTACACAATGCCAGGCTCACTTTTGACTTATAAACACCAACAGATTTTGATGATCTAAAGTCTATTTTTATATATGGTTTTACATTTTTCCTTATATGACCATAAGTGGTTAGTCACTTTATGTCCAGGAACAAATCAAGGGTATTTTAGAATAAAAATATTTATAGAAGCAGAATATTGGATTTTGAGTGTTAGATACTGGCAACTGTAAGCAATACGTATTTCTGAGCTGTAATTAATACTAGAAGTACAGATTGTTGTTTTAAAATGTCTTTCAAAGGAAAGAGAGGGACCATTCTCACACGAGAAAGTCTCTGTAAGCAGACAGGGTAGGAAGCACTGTGCAGTGGGCTCACATGAATGTAGAAGACTGTTGATCTGAGGGAGGCTGGAACTTGATTACAGAACAACAAAAGCCAAGGTTGTGGCTCTGCAAAAGGCACCACAAAGCCAATAAGTGAGCAACTTGAATTCTCAAAGGTAAGAAAAGAGCTTTTCTAGATGAAAATGCCAAAGAGAACCAGAACTTTCTCTTCACTTCTATTGTTTAGTGTTGCATGGCCTGGTGCCCTTACACACCCACCTCTAAGTACAGTCATAAGGAAGAGAAATTTCAATATCACTTCCTTACTACAGTTACCAGCCTTTGAGAAAATGAATTGATTATCTCCACTGTGTGTCTGTGTGTGTGTGTGTGTGTGTGTGTGTGTGTGTATGAGAGAGAGAGAGAGAGACACAGAGAGAGAGAGAGAATAGAGTGACAGTGATAATGGGAAAATATACAAGAGAGAAAGAAATGAATCTTTTCCATAAAACACAGGATTTGCTTTTTTATTGCCTATTTCATTGACAGATACTTTGTGCTATGAGATTTTGGAAACAAAAATAGAAAAAGGAAGTTATCTTTTCACTCCACAAAAGCAGTGTTTTTTCTTGTTTGATTTTTGTTTGTCTTTTAAAACTTGTTTTTGTACATTGCTGTATCTCCAGAACCTAGTACAATGCTGGGAATATAGTTTGTTCAATGAATTTTTGAGTCTATCTTATAGAGGAGAAGATAATACCACGATGAAAATTTGAACTACTTACCTATACCTGCTTTCTGGATTAAGTCCTTCCTTAATCTCAGAATACCTGGGAATAAATAATTTATAATTAACAGAAATTCATGTTTTACAGTTCTGGAGGCTAGGAAATTCAAGGTCAAGGGGTCCAAATCTGGTGAGGTGTTCTTGCTGGATCATCCCACAGCAAAAGGTGGAAAAGAGAGAGAGAGAGAGAGAGAGAGTGTGTTATGTGTGTGTGTAAAAGACAGAGAGAGAGAGAGAGAGTGCGAAAGATGGAGAGAGAGAGAGAGAGAGAGAATGCACAGGAGAGTGGGGGCGCTAAACTCATCACCCATTCCCACAACAATGATGGCAAAGCCCTCATAACCCAGCCAACTCTCAATGCTGATGCCTTTAAGATTAAGTTTCCAATATTAATTCAAGATTCAGTTCCACATGAACTTTTGAAGGCACATTAAAGCCATAGTCCATCCTAAATGTAAGTCTGACTTGCCTGATAACCTAGAGAAAAAGCTGTATTTTATAGAAAGCATGTGATGGTGTGACTTATGCCCTTTCCTCTTAAGGCTCATGCTCTGAGTGTTAGGAATTTCTCTCTTTCTCTTTTCCCTTGTTTTGAAACCTAATTCAATGGTGACTACCTCTGGAGAGTTTTCATGATTACACATATTTAAAACCTTATTGTGCTTTCACTCTGAGTAATAATAATTGGCATGATAGCAATGTTAGGGAAATTTCATCTGAATTTATTGGGACTTTCTGCTCTTTCCCCACTTATCATTTGTTGTTATAATTCTCCACTCTCCATTGTCTTTCCTTCCTGACCTGGTCTTTCACTGGGTCTAAGATTTATTAATGACACCTCCAACCCCAGCCCACCCCACCCCCACCACTGTTAAATTACAGGACAACTCCTTAAGTGGTAAGGTGGTAAATGACTCATACTTCATAACTCAAGAGGAAATTGGTGCCAGTGGACACAATACCTATTTGATGATCTAATAATCATGGGACCTCATTTCTAGAAGGGCCTCTGCCACTAACCAGTTTTGTGATCTTGGCCTATTCAATTTTCCTGGGCTGCACTTTTCTCAAATATAAAATGTGTAGGTTTATCTACATTCCTATTTCTGTAAATATGTATGTGTGTTCTGTGATACTAGCCCCAGATATGTTTTTTGGAAATATGTTCTAGGGTCACATTCATTTGGAAATTACATTCACTTGAAAATGTTTATCTTCTTGAACATTATAAAATTAAAGTATCTAAAATGGCCAGAAATAAAGAAACTATTTCTTTAACCTGATAATTGACTTTTTTGCAGGACGGGACAGTAGCTTGTTGGTAGTTCCCTGGAGAGCCAAATGAAAAAAGTCACTAGTTGAACTTGGGAACCTGGGCTGTAGCTTCAAGATGTAGTTTCATCTCCAATGCTAGATGTTATGGATACAGAGAGGACTATGCAGGATCTCCGCCTTTCAGGTATAAAAGGTCAAATAGGGAAGACACAAATAAAGAAATATAAGATGGCAATTGTAGACTAAAAGTTTTTTCAAATCATAATGGGTGTGAGGACTGAGATGCAAGAGTAAGGACAGTGGTTGAAGATGGGAGGCTCCATAAGTGAAGCTCCATTTGCTCTGGGTAGTGAGGACTGCTGGCAATAATTTACCAAGTAGAGGAGGTGGGAGAGGCATCAGATAGTGTGCCATACCACACGACAGAGGCATCCCATCACAAGGCATACACTAGACCTGTGAACTAATTCTATTTCTAGGAATAGAGGCTGCTGAGAGACAGAAGCAGAAGCAAGCTCTGTGAGGTGGGTTCTGTTTGCTTGGGATGGTGAGTGCCATGTTAAGAAAGTCTGAAATTTATCCCACAAATTACAGAAAACCATCCTAAGATTTGTTTTTAGTCAGGTGAATTACATGGCCAATAAGTGTTTCTAAAAAAAGAAATTCTGGAATGCTAGGACAGATGGAGGAGAAAACTAGTAGGAAAACTAATTATGATCCTATTGAAAGGGAAGAGCTGAATAATGACTGTGGCTGAATAATGATTGAATAATGACTGAATGAAGGAAACAGATATGAAGGAAATTTAGATGTTACACAGGCAAACAAGAAACAGGAATTCAGAATAAATTTAGGTTGGGCAAGTGTTGTGAGATTTTAACATTTGCTGTTATAGGAATTTAGACAAATAAACTGTGTCATATTAACTTCAAATTGAACTGGAGATTCTACTACATATTTTCCTATAAAAATGCATCCACTGATCATGTTTCAGAGTTCAAGACTGACTTAATTAATGACTCTTTTTAAAGTGATTCAACTCCCACCAGAAAGTCTATTCCAAACTGAAATTAGGTAGCAACTCAATGAATTTTTTGTCAACAAAACAACATTTAATGATATATATTGATTTTACCTCTGTATGATAAATAATCATTTTGGGGACCATAAATCATTTGGTTTTTCATACATTCTAAAACTCTTTTTTCAGACCTGGTTTATCCTACATACAATCAGTAAAAGTTTGTGAACTGTTACCTATTTTCTAGGAGGAAACAGCACAGAATATCAACAATGTTAGTTATGATTTAAACATGACATCATTGTTTTTGGAAGTAATCCTAAATTTGGCCTTTACTACTAAATATTATTGAAAATAATTTATTAAAATATATTGCTTATAGTTAAGGAGAAGGGTTAGATATCAGTGAAAAACTGAAAAATATCATTTTGAAAGAAGTCCAAGCTTATTATATAGAATTTAATAAAGATTTTAAAGAATTATTTTCTCAACAAACTTTTGAAGTACAAAGTTCTTTTATTTTAGGGGAGAGGAATTCTCTTTCAAAGACAGAATATAGAAACTAACATGACCTGGGTTGTTTACCCAAAGTGGTTCACACCTCCTGGTTATGTCAGAGAATTTTTTTGCCTGTACCTGGAGACAGCTGCCTTGTATTAGCATGAAAAATAAATTGTAAAATCTATCGTCACAGATCCATGACTGCTTTCCAATTTTGAATATCCAGAATCCAGAAATGTAGTTGGTGGATTGGAACTGTTGCTACACATAATTTTTCAGACCAAGGAAAACATAGTGTCCGCCTTAAAAACAAACCAAGCTATCAGAAAGGGCTACACATTATAAAAGGAACACAATGGGATTATTCAGAGTGACTTCTGAGAATTTTTTTCTTCTCCAATTGTAAAGAAATAAAGATAAAAACTGAATGGTCTTTCCACGGTAGGCAAGGCTGCCTCTCCCTCTCCACCTCTCACATTTAAGGCAGCTCTGTGCAATTGTTTTGAAAACAATCTTAGAGGCTTTGGAAGGCCAATTCATGCCATGGTTGTTTTTTATGGTTCTGAGGTTAATGATAAAATGTTGCTGTGTCTAAGCCTGGAGATTTTGCACACTTCTAAATGCATTTTATTAAATCTGGAAGAAATACTGTATTCTTGACAAAAAATGAGTTGAGACACAATGTCCCTTTACGAGAGCAAAACAAACTTATTTCCCCGCGGTCAAAACAGAGGGCAGGAGGATACAGGCTGTGGTTTCAGACGTCTACTGCCTATCTTGCTGTGCCACGCTCCCCTTTGATTCACAGCCACTCCCTTAACATGGTATCTGTTTACTTTAGAGGAGGCAGGTTTGAGAAAGAATCATAAATATCCTGGCTCAGAGCCCCAGGAACCATGACAAGCAAAAGAACATACTCGCCTGAAGATAGCCTTTGTGATATTTAAATGTGTGGGTTAATTTTTTATCTACTTTAATACCTGGGTCTTTTTTTTCCGCCTTGGCTTTCTATTTCTGCTCTGGAGCTGTGAGTACAGGATCTCTGCAGGCAAATTACTCCAGAGCATATTGGAGGACAATCCTATAACGAACAGTTGAATTCACGGCATCTGGGTTCTTGTTTCTTTCCTGAAATGGCAGGTGTGAGTGGCTGTATAAAATATTCTATGTTTATCTTCAACTTCTTCTTCTGGGTAAGTGTTTTTCTTTTAATTATCAATTTTATGCAAGAAAGGGGATCTTGATATAAATATCATAAACAAGAACAGGCTCTACACTGGAGAAATAGGATGGGGGGGAAATGTATTTTCCATTTCCTTGTTTGGATTTGTTGGTTCTTTCTTTGGTTATTTCAGTAATTGAAAATAAGCCAATGACTCAAAAAAGTACACTTCAGCATCTGTGAGGATAAACATTTTCTAAATGTTTTGATATTGTTACAAAAACAATCACAGAGGAAAAATTACCCCTTAATTAAAGGACAATTATTCTTAGTGTGTATCAGTCAGGGCTTCTCTGTTTAAGGACTCCATGGGAAAACATAGTCTGATTCACGCAGAGACTGGCCCTTGCCTGGTTCCCTCCCTTCATAGCTGTGTTCAAAACAGGTGACTGGTGGGGTGTGGGATGATAAAGACATGAGAAGATGAGAGCCCCAACTGAAAACAATGGGTCATGAAAAACTTGAGGGGAAACAACAAGAGTATTTAGTTGTGAGATTACTAAGCCAGCGAATCTGGTTTTGCAGTTTAGTCAACATTTTGACATGTCATCAACCTATCTTTTAATCAACAGGGTTTGTATTTAGGAAATTGTACTTCTCTTAAAAGTTTATTCATATATGCATAGCAAATAAATTGAAAGTCACATCAAGCATTGGAAAATGGAAAAACAAGGTGTGAAAAGGGCAGGCTGGGATATTGGGAAGTCTACCTAATCATTTTTAGCATATATGGCATAGTTAAAGACTGTTCAAGGATTAGGGCGTGGTTCAAATGGTACAGTGCTTGTCTAGCAAGCTCAAGGCCCTGAGTTCAATTCCTAGTACTTTCAAAAAAATAAAAATAAAAACAAAAACAAACACAAAAAGATGGTTTAAAAGTAAATCAGTAGACATAGTCCAAAGTGCTTAAATGAAAATTAAATCATTTTGTAACTTGTGCAGTATAAAAACTCTGGTTTTGTTTTTGAACTTGGTTGACTTTGGTAAATAGACAGCTGGTATCTATATGTTGGTAAATTTCTGTCCTATAAACTAATAATGGACTTAATTAAAGTTAACTACATGAATGCTGTTGTATTGTATAAAAATGACTTTCCATTCAATGGTCAGTAGCCCTAATGAATGCAGATGAACTACTGGTGAATTGAGTGTGTAAATAAATAAGTAAAATAAAATAAAATAAAGTAGTGTGTTCTTTGTACTTTGTCTTTTGCCTAGAAAACTGGGCTGCTTTTGAAAATCCTAAACACAGCTCAGTCATCTATATCAATTTTTAAAAAGTTAAGCCTGTTAACATTTCTTTCCAATATTTAAATATTGGTAATAGAATGTACAGAAGTGCATATTTTCTTTGGCTTGGCTATGTTTTAAAAGCTTATTATCGTGGGTAACTCGCAACATTCATAAAAGAGACAAAATTGGGAGGTTAACTCCATCACCCAATCCCAACAGCCTTGAAACCATGGCCAATCTTTCTCTATCCATACTCGGATTCATTTCCCCACCCCATACAATCTTGAAGCAAATCTCAGATATATCATTCCATCTATAAATGTTCCAATATGTATGTTTAATAATTCTTTTAAAAATGTAATTACAACATCATTATCATACTTTTAAAAAACTCAATAAGAATTTCTTAATTATGAAATATTCATCTAGGGTTTAAATTTCTGATTGCCTCATAAATGTTTGTGCTTGAACTGGGATCTGAATAAGGTCCACCTTGTGATAGGTAAATACATTTTTTATCAAATTCAGCCTGTAGATTCTCCCCCTAACTTCATGTTTTTCCTTCCCCTTGAAATTTTACATAGTGGTATGTGCTGTTTGTCTTATCACATTTTCTGTGATCTGAATTCTATTATTTGCACATCCAAGGTGTAATTGAACATGTGTAGCTCCCTCTGTATTGTTTGTAAGTTAATAGTTGCATCTGTCAGTTTGATACAATTTAGGTTTTTAAAAAATTTTTTGGCACAACTACTTCATAAGTGCTACTGTGTTATTTCGTCAGGAGGTACACAATATGACACTTTTTTCTGATGGTCAACAAGATCTTAGATCCATTTTTAGTTCATTTAGAGTTTCAAATGGGTAATATTCTAGCTCTATCAACTTTTCAATTAGGAGAAATTTCTCATTTATTGATTTACTATTTGGTTGCCATTGGACTGTGTGTGTTTAAAAGGGGTACACACATATCTATATCATATATATCACATATATAGTAGCATAAATACTTCTTTCTTTTATGTAATTACTAGAGTTCAAAATGATGAAACTATCTCCTATTATTTAATAATGAGAAACTAGTATTTTTCTTATGAAATGATAGATTCCATTATAGTCCTTATCCTATTGATTTGCAACTTTGCATCTTTTGGCTAATAGAAATTCCTTCAAAGTGGCTTCTGAGTCCTTTTGACATGATCCTAACAATGTTGATAACTGCTTCATTATTTGATATGACAAGATGTTCCAGGCTCATTTGACTATTTCCTGGCCAGACCTGACATGAGCGATTTCTCTAAGAAGTCCTGATCCTTGTCTTTATAGAATTATAGCCATTGTTTCTTCCTATGACATAGACTATATGATATAGACTCATTTAAAAACCAAAATATTAATGTACTAATAAATGTATGGCTTCTATATCGGTAATACATCTAAAAATATCCAAACCAAAAACAATCTTCAACTTGTGAAACAGTTTCTGTTGTATAAAAACAGCTTGAAAAGTGCTGACAGAATTGTGAATACCCTTTTCATTAAATGGCTAATCAGGAATTTGGAATAGATCTGAATTGTATACCAAAATGATAAATGCAATCTAGGAAATGGTATTATGCATTTAAGATTAGGATTCAAGGCCAGTTGTTGCAAACTTTACCATGCTACCATGCTATACCCAGATACTGTCACTGCTTTCCTGGGAAACTGATTATTTTATGGTTGCCATTATCTGTGTGTTTCTTTGGTAGCACAAATTCTTTTTGATGTTGTAGATTTCAGTTAGATAGTTCTAACTTCCTCCAGGGATTTTTCCACATGTTTGATGGGACCTACAGTCTCTATGTCAGAGATCTTGAGGCAGAGTCTCAATGAGAGAAACTGTTAAAAAGGTCAGTGATGACTTCTTGGCCAACACATGACATCAATATTTTAAATTAAAATCTAAGCAGCAGGAGTCATCTCTGAGGTTAGGGAATCCTAACCTATTTCTATTCCTCCATCCATCCTCAACCCAGAGCTCTCAGTTGGAATTTTATGGTCCTTCATAGGAAATTAGCAATTTGTCACATTCCTAATGTTTACTTAAGTAAACAATTTAAAGGTCCCACTGATGTGGTTTTCTTGTAGCTATCCATAGCCTTATGTTTTCAAATGCATTTTTTCTGGTGTAACTTGTGAAACTAAGCTTTTGCAAAGTAAGGCCAGATGTTGAAATATCTGTAAGATATACATATGTTCATATAATCTAAACATACAAATTTTTTGGGGGAGAGATCTTACGATATGACAAACAAATATGCAGAGATTTGCATTTGGTAGAATTGCTAATTGAAGAAATAATGTGAACTGAAAATCATTCATAATCATTGATGGTAGAGTTTGATGCAAATTAGGGAATTTGAGGTGTGATTGATAATAGATAATTTGTAGGTACAAAAACCTATTTCCTTGAGTTCTGTGTCAAAAACAGATAAAATGTCTCAATGACCTTACACTGTCTTAGACAAGTCAGGCCTGGGAGTATTATACATGGTTAGAATTTCGTAAGTGTCCTGATAACATGGAGCACAAAGTCTTGGGTAGGGGTGCAGTGTAATGATGACCAGACACAGAAAGGCATGGAGAGGCCAAATGTTAATGAAGAAAAGCAAAGTGAGATAACATTATCAATCCCACACGAGGCAAGGTGAGAAGGAGTCAAGAAGTAAATGAAACAAATTGTGTCAGCAGCTGAAGGAAGTCAATGCAGGAAGAGGTCTGAAGAGAGAAGAAGGTACTCAGAAAATGGAGCAGGTGTGTAGGAACCAGACCACTACATTTTATGCAGTGCTTGGGATTTTAGATTTGAGGTGCTCAGTATAATTAAAAGATTGGAGGCAAAGCAGACATAATTCTGAGATAAGCACACATCATAAATAATAGGACACAATTATATTTTATTCTATCACATGATGAGATGCCTCAAGCTAAAAAAAAAGTAGATTCTCACTGACTGGGATACAAATTCTGAATCTACTCTTTATTGTTTTGTGGTCTAGAATATGTTCATTGACATTTCTGTGTCTCAGTCTCTGCATTTGTAAAACAAGTGTTATAATTTTACCTAGAAGGATTATAATTATAAAGATTAGCTAAGACATCTTATGAGATGACTCAGAAAGACTGATTTATAACAATAAATTCAATTAATACTATTTTTCAGATTCCAATTGTTATGTTGCTTTTGAATTGAAAAGTATTAGAATCTGGTGTGATAGTATTATATTCAAGACAAACTTCTAAGAAATAAATATAATTTTAGCCCTATGATGACCCTCTCTTTCCTCACATAGCGAAGAATCTATGAAATAGAGCTAATATGCCTACCTTAACACTGGCCTCCACTTTGAATACCTGCTACTCCAAATTTCCATACCCAAATGGCCTCAAAGCTATTTACAGGGACTGCACAGGCTCTTTTCCAAGAGTATACATGGAGAGTTGTTTTCCAGGAGTGGAAGTGAGTTGCAAACTGAGTGCAGGTTTGTAAGCTGTGGTATCCACACCCATTCGCATTTGGGTCCCTCAGAGCCCACAAAACAGAAGTAGGAGTGAGATGGGGATTCTTTCCTTGCCATCCAAAGGACAAATCCAAGGACCTCAAAACTTCTAAATTAAACCTTGTTTTCTAGGTCACTAAGCAGGTACACTTGTTAAGATAGGAAATCTCTGAAGTTGCATTATTTTATAATTCACAGTACATTAGAATGTAGATGAGATGCCAAACATCCATCTCTCTTCACATATTTTGAAGTTGTATGGATTTTAGTGTTTGCCCAGGCTTTATTTGTGCTAGAAAGAAGGGTGGTAGATTCCACTCTCTCCCCCCGCCCCTCAATTTTAGAGTTATTTAAAGTAGAATATTGCATCGGTTGTGCTGGGTGCTTGGTCAAGTAGATTTATAAAATGCACATGAATGCAGCCTAGGGACACAGGTACTGTATACTTAATGCTAATATCATTCATTTGGGGCTGAAGATTTAAAAAAAACATGACAGTAGAGTCTGCTAAATATTTATAGCTTTTAACTTACTTTACTTGTTTAGAACAAATCAGATGTTGTGTGAAGGGCAGAAGACCATCTTAGTAAATCAGGGATGCATTAGGTCATGTCCCTACAGAGAGTGCTCTGCAATCTTGCCCCCAACAGGAGACCTGATGATTATCATAAATCATGCCAGTAAAGAGTGAAGCAAAACCATCCTGCTCTTAATGAGTCAGCATAATCTTCCTATTATTCAAGGATGAATAAAGCAAAACTCAGCATAAGGTTTAATAAAAAATATTGTTGAGCAAGTGAAACATAAAATCACCCTGGAGAGTCATAGGACAGACACATATCTCTGAAAGAAACACTCCAGAGTCCCAAAAACAGTATCTGGAAATTGGTATCCACAATGTGTTATCAGAAAATAACCCATATTTCCACCTCTTATGGCAGACATGAAGGATGATAAAGTTAATTAGGAAATCACAGGATAAATTGAAAAAGGAAATGGATAAAAATAAACAAGGACTTCAAATAAACTAGAATCTCAATAGCAGAATTAAAATTTATCACAAATAGTACATTAAATAGAGACAGTGATATAGAATCACAAATTGAGAAGCTCTTCCAGAGAAAAATAAAAAAGAAATAAAAAGAATCTGAAAAAAGATGAAAGATACAGGCAAATACATTGTTTTCCAAGGAAGGAGACACTATAAATAGAAAAAAATATTTAAATTAATAAATGGAAATAAGTACAGCTAAAATATACTTTGCACTTTTTTTTTTTTTTTTTGTGGTACTGGGGCTTAAACTCAGGGCCTCATGCTTGTTAGGCAGGCGCTGTACCACTTGAATCACTCCACCAGCCCAGGTAAAAGTATACTTTGTATATAGAGGGAAGATAATGTGTTCTGCTCAATCAAAGAAGACATCTCTGTCTACATAAGTATTAGGAGAGCTATCCAATTAAAACAAAAGTCTTACAAATGTCCATATACATGCAAAGAAAACAAGCAAACAATTCATGAACAAAAGAAAGGCTGACCATAGACTTATCTATTGCAACACTAAATATCAGAAGACAAGGTAACAAGGCCTGGTATACATTCAGAGCCTTTTACAAGTGGAAAAGAAAAATGTCTTACCATACACATATTATAAAACTTATCAAAATGTACCCAAATGATTATTAAAGTATGAAGTAAAAATGGATAGCTTAAAGGAAAATCAGGACAACAAAGTTCTGGAAACAAAAAAAGGCATGTATCTACATGATTACATAATTGTATTTTCTATTATGAAATAGAGTATAAATCTACAAAATTTTTTGATAGAGAAGAGATATCATAGAAAAATAACAATTAAGTAATAATTACTCCAAGCTATAACCCAAGACTGAATATAGGTGCTGGACAATAGTGTTACTAGTGAGGCTCCTTGTCCTGACCATGTTCTTACTATGTTCTGTATGTTCCAACATGTCTTTCCATGGGTGAGGAGTGTGGAGAGAGGAGGAGAAAGAGAGAGAGAGAGAGAGAGAGAGAGAGTGAGATAGTGAGATCTTATAAGGCTACAAATAATATGGGATTGGGATCCTATCCTTAAGACTTCATTTAATCTTAATTATTCTCCTAAAAGTCCTATCTCCAAATATAGTCACATTGAAATTTAGGTCTTCAGCGTAAGAATTTGGGGGGGGGACAAAAATCAGTTAATTGCATAACAATAAGTGAATATCAAAATTGTCTAATTTCTCAGAATGCTGATTCAGACCAATTGCATCCTAACTGCATAAAAAGAAAGATATCCTGTGAAAGTTGAGTGAAAACCACAATGATTCTTTTGAAAGAGAAACCAGAAGCCAGTCAGTCCTTCAGTGTCCACTAGCAGCAGGCCTGGAAGCCCACGATAGTAACCTCTTTCCTTTTACCTCCTTACCAACACACAATAGAGCAGAGATAGACACTTAACTTTTAAATTTGTACTTTTTGTTGTTAAAAGCAGTATGAAAAGATTGGGGAACAAACCCTTAAAGTCAAACTAGGGAAAGTGCTCAAAGAATCATTATGATGTTCAGTCTTCAAGACTGAGGATAAAATAGGTTATCAATCATGACTTTAGAACATTCATTCTTCAAATAAATAAATTTCAAGTAATAAATTTACTTTTAAAAGTCAGTGAACACATTTATGAATAATTTCATGATAAGATTGTGATTTTTACATGTGAATTTCTCCAGCTAAGATGATAATGATGTATTTTAAACACTTGTTTCATCTCATTTTTAAAATGAAGTTTAAAAAATAAGAGATAAGGATGGAAATGAGAATTAACCCATTTCAAAATCTGAATTGTATCTAAAGGTGAAGATTAAGATTGAACAAAATATTCCTGACTTCAGAAATAACTGAGTGTTCCTTTTCAATGTTAACAATACAGATGATGTTCAGTGGTTGAGAAGACTAAACGTTATTTGAGGGGCAAATATGGTTGATGTCATAAGATTCATGTGTGGTTGGATTTCTAATACTTTAGAAAAAAGAATCCAATAGTAATAAACAAACACAAAGAGTTAAAGTTTCAAAGAATATCATACTCTCTTAAGAGTTTTCAAAGTTTTCTCTTTAACAGTTAAATACCAGGTAAGAAGTAATTACAATAGATATTACAATAATGTTTTTAATTAAAGCTAAAGGTCAGAATGGCTATTAATCAATCTAAATCTACTTGTGAAAGGAGAAGAAAAAGTCAGAAAATATCAGGAAGCAAATCAAATACCTAACAAATATTTCAACTGGCATAAATTACTGAAAATCCCAAAGGGATTTTTCCATTTTCAAATGACATTAGGATTTAGTGGAAGGAGATGAAAAGTGGGGAAGTTTTCAAGTTCTAAGCTGCTTTAATAGTTTGTATAGTGTGTGTATATGTAAGGTGATTAAACTACATAGGTTATTTGGTGGCTGGTAAATTTTTAGTTTTTAATTGTATCAGAATAATCACAGTTATTTTGAAAGAGTTGAATTGTAGTAGGGGTGGTTTGGTAAGGAGTTGTCCTGGATTTTCACAGTGTATTTCTACTCTCTCAGGAGTCCAAATCCTTTAACTAAATTGAACAATTTGGACCTATGTGATTTGTGAATTTTTTGTTGTTGTTGCTGTGTTTTAGGGAACACATATTCTAAGGCCATTCAGCTACTCATTTTGCTACCTATTCCTCAACATGATCTCTTTGACCTTATTTCTACTGCAAACCTAATGAGAAACTAATAAAAGTACTGCTGGGTATTCCAGGCATATGGCTCAACCATGCATGAAAGCAATGACACTACAAGGTCATTGGGTTTTAGAGGGCTCAGACATTTCTTTGTCAGACACGAAAGATCAGAAATGTCTAGAAAGTTCTCCAAAGTCTGATGTGTCTGGTACATTCCAGAGTTGCTCCCAATATATCTATCTAATAATACATCTTTGATTTTTTTTGAGGCTGCAATGTATATCTTTTTTTTAAACCCTGAAAGACAAGGGTTTTCCTTACACTAAAGTAAGATGTGTTTCTCATTTTATGTGTTGATCTTGCTCCAAATTAAATAATCTGGTAAAGTCATTAAAGGAACTTAAGACTTAAAGTACTGTTCTTCATTGTTCTTTTTCTCTGGGTAAGTTTTACCACCTAAAAGAACTTATGTTTGGAAAAATTTATTTGGGTTCAAAAGGTATTGGTTAATATGTACCCTTACACTTTTGTATAAATTTTGTCAGATGCCTCATGATTTTGTGTCTATCCCAACTTCAATCTCCTTGAATCTTGAATGAATATTTGGTGATCAAATTGTTATTTCCTTCTTTCTTGGTCTAAACTAGCTTCCCGGACACAAATCCAGGAGCATACTAAGGATACTTTATCTTTAAACTGTTGCAACTTATACTTTTCTTTGCTCCAATCTAGCAAAAATACGATTGGAATTAAATGAGAGAAAAGAATCTCTCCCTACCTAGCAGAGACAATTTCTTATCTATAGGTCTATGAAAGGACTGTGGAGGTGAAACAGTTATTCTTATCAAATTTACAAATTGCAGTGGAACACCTTAGTGATTAGCTGTACTACTGATGTCTGTCACGCTGTAATGATATAGTTAATGATAAACTATTGAAAGCTGGTAGGTGAGTATGTGGAATTAGTGTTTAATTTTGTCTTAGCTGTACTAACATTCCTTCTTATCTTCTGCAGGTATGTGGTACCTTGATCTTGGCATTAGCAATATGGATACGAGTAAGTGAAGATGGTAAAGAGGTAAGTATAGAAATATACTTATCCCAAAAAGGTTAATTTGGGGTAAATTAACCTCAGAAAGTTTATTTCTCTTATAATAATGAAAATCACAATAGTCCGAATAACAAGCATTTCTACAGCATTTTTTAACCTGCTGATGTATGAGTTTATAATTCAATGAATCAAAATTACATACTATGCGCCTGGCATTGTGCTAGGCATGGGACAGTCCTTCTGGAGAAAAGAGGAGGTGTTATCCCCAAACTAGGAAGATTTCAGCAAAAGTGGAGATAGGAAGGGGCCAGAGTGGAAATTTGCCTCTTTCCCTATTTAAGGTTAGCCTGATTGATGCACCGCTTAAGGAAGGGTATGGATGACCTCTCTTCTCCAAAGAGAAAAATGTTTTTTATAGTACAAGGCATTGACCATAATTTAGCTGACTCCAAGATGGTTGGTTCAAAAGGAAAGAAGGTGAGAAGTTCTCTTAGAGAAGATAAATGTGAGTCTGTATTTTAAGAGCAGCAAAGAACCAGGGTAGTTGATACTTACCTGCCGCAGCTGGCATTGAAAGCAATACCTTCCAATACCAGGCTCCTCATTGTAGTGTAACTCAGCAGTTGGCTGTGGCTTTTTGCTGTTTCTATAAGACTAACAAGAACCCCCTACACATCTTTTCATGACTGGGAGGCAAAGATCTTACCAATATTATCAACAGGTTTGGAGGATGTTTAGTTCATAGGGTTAATTCTGGCTCCAGTCTTTGGACTCCACATGTCCTAATTCTGTTCTATACCAATAGTGTCTTTTTTTTTTTTAAATTTTATTATTCATATGTGCATACAAGGCTTGGGTCATTTCTCCCCCCCTGCCCCCACCCCCTCCCTTACCACCCACTCCGCCCCCTCCCTCTCCCCCCATCCCCTCAATACCCAGCAGAAACTATTTTGCCCTTATTTCTAATTTTGTTGTAGAGAGAGTATAAGCAATAATAGGAAGGAAAAAGGGTTTTTGCTGGTTGAGATAAGGATAGCTATACAGGAAGTTGACACACATTAATTTCCTGTGCATGTGTGTTACCTTCTAGGTTAATTCTTTTTGATCTCACCTTTTCTCTAGTTCCTGGTCCCCTTTTCCTATTGGCCTCAGTTGCTTTTAAGGTATCTGCTTTAGTTTCTCTGCGTTAAGGGCAACAAATGTTAGCTAGTTTTTTAGGTGTCTTACCTATCCTCACCCCTCCCTTGTGTGCTCTCGCTTTTATCATGTGCTCAAAGTCCAATCCCATTGTTGTGTTTGCCCTTGATCTAATGTCCACATATGAGGGAGAACATATGATTTTTGGTCTTTTGGGCCAGGCTAACCTCACTCAGAATGATGTTCTCCAATTCCATCCATTTACCAGCGAATGATAACATTTCGTTCTTCTTCATGGCTGCATAAAATTCCATTGTGTATAGATACCACATTTTCTTAATCCAACGAATGGACCAATAGTGTCTTAAATGTGGAAGGAGTTGGGCAGGGATACGAGTGAGTGGGTTTTGTCAATTGTACCCAACTTAACGCCATCCTGGCACCATCTCCTTACTCTCTTGTTTTCATTTTTTTCTCCCTTGTCTTTTACAGGAGCACCCCTCACCCTAACTATTGCTCTTACCTCATGCCAAACAGTCTGTTTGTTCTTTGTTATTTAGGTTCTTATCACTATTTAGGATCATATCTACTGCTATAGCCTTTCAAAGTCTTTATCAAAATAAAGTGTTTCTCCTCTCTTAAAAGGAATTTTTATTCCTATTTGAGTATTATAAAGATAATATTAAGCCAGCAATGAAGACAATGCATTTTGTATTAAATTTAATGCACCATTGTGCAGATAAATGCCTTTGGACACAGTCTAGTGCAAAGAAAGATTAACAGCAAATTAACATATGTTCTGTATCTTTTCCTACAGTGGTCAGCTTTTCTGGAAATTTTTTTTTCTCTCTCTCTCCCTTTCTCCCCCTCTCTCTCGCTCTCTCTCTCTGTCTTTTCTGTCCCTAGAGAACCAAGAGAGTCATAGTGGCAATTAGCTCATTCTGTGCTTCACCTGGTAAAGAAACTGGGTAGGGGATAGGTGTGGCAAAGCAGTCAGTAACCTCTTAGTTCATCAGAATTTCATTTATTATTTATACTCATGAATGAAGCTGTGACTCCCTGATGGCCTGGGGATCTAGTGTTTGAACCTAAGAAGGAAGATATTCAAAGGTATGAGGAATATGTCTGATTTAGGGTTCATATTTAAGCACAAAGATGAACAGATTTTTAAGATTTGTGTGCAGCCTGCATTTTATTTTATTTCATTGTTATACTCCTGGTTGATATGTTCTTTCTCCTCATTGTTTGTAGAAAACAAGCTTGGTGTTTAGTCTGTTAAGAAATTACACACATTGAATGAATTAAAGGAGAATTGTTGTCCTTGAGAGGGTGTGACTCCACATCTGGAGATGAGAGTAGACTAATGGAGCTCGACAGCATCTTTAGTGAAATTTTGACTTTTGTGCTGTCACCTCTTACCCAGAACAAAAGTCAGAATCTGCCAGGACAACATTAACCAGGCTGTCTTATGGGAAATTGGCTTCATTTGTATTTATCTGAACCCAGTGGCAAAAATTTTTGACTGAGTTAAGAACTGAATTTTATTACTAGAAAAACCAGGTAGCAGCTTCACAAGAGAAAATGTGAGCATAAACATAGAAAAAGAAAGATGACAAGGGGTGACATCTCTTTCTGCATTTACATTTTTGCTTCCTCAGGGAAAACTCAGCACCACAAGGTAAAACATATGGGCAGCTTTGCATATGGGTCTCAGGAGACCTGTTCTAATCCAAAGAGGATCCCCGAATCTTTGTTGTTTAGGCTTAGCAGTCATTCTTGAGGAATTCTCTCCTTGTCTTAAGTATTCATCCAAGAGTGTTTGAAAGCCTTCTGTGTCTTTGCTGGAGCAAGCATCTGAACTCAAATTTCCACTTCGTTCTTCAGTAAGAATAGCCATTTGTTGGGCTGGGCTTGGAGCAGTGACTACCAGGCAGTCAACACACTGCTTTTGGGCCAGTCCCTGATAGTAGGTCACCTGCCTGGGTCATTCTCACAGATGTGCCTCATTACCTGCTATACAGGTGCTGGCTGCACTACTCATACCTTGTGTGCAGTCATTTGATCTATTATTTTTATGCCTGATCTATCTATCCTAAGTTCTGATAGCCCAGCTCGAGAGTCTTCCACCCTCTTTGTTTGCCTTAGGATTTCCTGTACTTGCTGCAATACTCTAGTGAAGCAGTACTTACTGGTGAGTTAATAGAACTGATTTCCTGTAACTGTTTTTTTTCACATTGATTTTAACCCAGATCTCATGCCTGTTTATTAACAACAATGATTTCTTGCTCTAATCTTAACAACAAAACAATAAAATCCACCGAACAAAAAATTTTAGAATATAACCAAGCTTTCAAAATATGTAAATTGAAACATTATCTGTAAGCACATACTTTTAGAGACAATGGAGGCTTTAGAAATCGCAGAGATGACCCATTTCCCTTTTATAAGTGGAAAACTGGGGCTCAGCTTAGCTGACTAGCCTAGAGTTACAAACTTGTTTTCTAGGATCCTAAGTAGAACATGGATCTGAAAGGCTTTTGTACGTTCAGTACATCCCTTCATACTGATTGTTGAATAAAGGTTTCCTCTATGCTACGAGTGCATTTTAAAAGACTTTAAAGCAGAAAGATCATTAGTAGTGGCAGTAATTATTTTTCATTGACTTTTAAGGGAGGCGACCTACTGGCTGCTTGGCCGATTCTGGGATGTAGTTTCTTTGAGTGCATAGAGGAACTAGTGCCTCACTTAGAGACAACCCAGTACAGAAAGCTCATATAACATGCACCAGCTCTCCTCTTTAACTGTGATTGACTAATGTACATAAATGGAGGGCAAGTGGTAGGTCGAGGCTAGATATTACAAGGTTGATGAAGAAGAAAATATCTGTGTTGCTTTGAGAAGAGCTGAATTATGCCCTAGGATATTTTCCTACATATTCCATTATTTAATAGTTGGGTGAAATAAGAGAGTTTCTGGAAGGACTGTCTCTTCTGGAAATGAGAAGACAGAATTGATATGAAATATGAGGATCTGGACTTTTTTTTAAAACCAAGATGTAAAGCAGTTTTTTTTTTTTATTATTATTAACCCATAAAACCTTCCTCATGTCCCTTTTCAGTTGGTTCCTGCCTTCCTTCCTACTTTGCTCAAAGGCAAACACTGCTTAGATTTTTATCACCATAGTTTTGCCTGTCCTAAACTTCATGTAAATGAAACCCTGCAGTATGTACTCTTTTATACATGGTTTCCTCAGCTAGACATCATAATTCTCAGATTTGTTCGTGTCATTCTATCAATGATTTGAAGAATTTGGGCTTTTAAAAGTTGAAATAAATTACTGTAAAGTGTGCTATTTTATATATAAAACACAAAATCTGTGAACCAAAAATCACATCAAGAAGAGTGAAAGTAGCTGGGCACTGGTGGCTCACTTGTACAATCCTAGCTACTTGTGAGGCTATCAGGACGATCAAGCTGAGAAGCCAGTCTGGGTAAACATTTCACGAGACCACATCTCCAAAATAATCAAGCAAAATGGACAGGAAGTGTGACTCAAGTAAGTGCCTGCTTTGCAAGTAGGAAGCCCAGAGTTCAAACCCTAGCTCCACCCCCTTGTTCTCTGATTTTGTTGAAGAGAAAACACAGGAGATAATAAGACAGCATTTTTACTAGTTTGAGATGAAGATAGCTATACAGGGGAATTTCTTATGTTGTTTCCATGCATATGTGTATTACAACCCACATTGGTTCATCTCTACCAGACCTCTTCACTACTTCCAAGTCCCTTTCCCATAGTGGCTTCTGTCAGTTTAAGATTACTATATTCGCTCCTCTACAGTGAGCACATTGACCACATTCAAGTTTTAGGTTTCCTTCCCTTTCCCTATTCCTCCCATGTGCATTCTTCCCTTAGTGTGTGACCCACGTCTAATATTATTACTGCATTTGTTTTAGGCCTATAATCTGCATATGAGGGAGAACATGTGATTTTTGGCCTTCTGAGCCTGGCTAACTTCACTTAAGATGCTGTTCTCCAGTTCCATCCATTTACTTGCAAATGACAAAATTTCATTCTTCTTTGTGGCTAAGTAAAATTCCGTTGTGCATAAATAGCACATTTTCTTAATCCATTCGTCAGTAGTGGGGCATCTTGGCTGTTTCCATAACTTGGCTATTGTGAATAGTGTTGCAATAAACAGGGTGTGCAGGTATCATTATTATTTTAGAACATCAGAAACATGATCCAGTAAAGTGGCATCTCAACAAATTGTAAGCTCCATGACGGCAGGGATTTTTGTTTGTTTAAATCGTGGAAGTGTTTCAAGGTCCCAGAACAGGGTCTTTCACAGAGTTGGTACTCAAGTGATGTTTGTTGAATGAGCAAAATAAACACCAAGGAAAAGAATTTCTGCCATTAATATCCTCTTTATTTCCAGATTCTCACTTCTTCTGGGGACTCTAGCGCCAATCCCTTTGTTGCTGTGAATATCTTGATTGCTGTGGGCTCCATCATCATGGTTCTGGGTTTCCTGGGATGCTGTGGTGCTGTGAAAGAAAGCCGCTGTATGCTGCTCTTGGTGAGTTCTCTAAACTACTCCCAATATCCATCCTTCAGATGCTGGAGGATTATCTCCTGTCCCCATGACCTGTCAAAAGACTGCTAAGATTGATGAGACTCTAACTTACATTCAGAGGCTTTGATCGTGGGAGTTAAAATGGCTTTGATTTGGCTTGTTTGGGCTCAGATTTGAGGATACTCTGAGAGAAGACTTTTTTAACTCATTCACCCATTCATTGACTCATGCATCATAGCTGCATATCTTTCTGTGCCAAACACTGTGCTAAATGATACATAAGAGCTTAAGGCAATTAGAATCCCATGGGGAAGTTTAATAAGTAAATAAATCAGAGCAGTGGAAGTGGCTTCAGAAGAGAACACAAAGACAAAGGAGGATAGAAGAGAATAAAGTGTTAGTATGGATGAGGATGTGAGGAGACATGTCTCAGGAAGAGACATGTTTAGGGAATGAAAGACCTTGGATATGGCTGCAGAGTGGCAGAGGCTATTTTCAGTAAATAATGGGAGATAAGTCAGTGTGGACTAGGGTCAAATCATAAAGTATACTACATGCCATGCTAAAAATATTATAAGGGAGTGAGATAATCAGTTTTATAACTTATAAATGTTCTGGGAAGATGGATTGGATTGGGATAAACATAGATATGCATTTTTAACATATATAGAAAATAATGGATATTGGGGAAAAAGCTAGAAAAAAATTAAATGCCTTTCAGATATAAATTTGTCACAAGAGTTTATCAGAGCTAATCCAAACATTTCTATAACAAAAAAGCATTGTGTCACTCTGAAAAGTAATGTTTTAGCTACTTATTTATTATGAGGGGAGTCAGAGAATTTAATAGGACTCTAGTAGCATCCCTAGTGATTACTTTCTCAGGACTAGATCATGATTTTATAGATCTGAGATAGAGTTCAGGTATCTATAAGGTACTGTGGGATTCTGATAGTGATCGAGATACTGTTAGGAAGTCAGTTCTGAATTCGTGTGGATGTATTTGATAGAAAAAGGAAAGGAAAAATATTATTTAAACCAATTCAAGTTTTTAAATTTCCCTCCCTTTAATATTATACAATAACCCTGTCAATACAGTTTCATGGAAACCACTTTTCTTGATCAGTGTTTGAAGCAAATGCTTCTGAGTAGTAATAGACCCCAAATTTGCAACTTGACACATAGAGTGGAAGAAGTAAAGATTGTGGCTAATTCTGCAATCCTGACTGTCCAGGGAAGTGCAATACCCAAATGTCCCCAGATGTTACTAAATGCACTGAGGGTAATAGATATGCATTTTCCTCTTTTTTTTTTTTTTTCAGTTTTTCATAGGTTTGCTCCTGATCCTGCTTCTGCAGGTGGCAGCAGGAATCCTAGGAGCTGCTTTCAAATCTGAGGTGGGTACATAAATGATGTTTATAATTTTAGAAAAATCTAAGCATTGAAATACTACTTTCTGTCATGAATAATTTAACAATATTCTTCAATTTTCAGTCCAGTCGCATTCTGAATGAAACTCTCTATGCAGATGTAAAACTTTTGAGTGAAACAAGTGATAATGGAAAAGAATTCCGAGAAGCTCTGACTTTGTTTCAAAAAGAGGTAATTAGAATTTGGTCATTTGGCAAGTTGAACATAGTTCTTCAATGTTTAGTTTTTTGACTGGTGTACTCCATAAGAATCAACAACCATCTCCATTTTGCAGATTTTGACTAATTGTTCTGTCACGATGAAAGAAGAAAACCTTAAGAACAGTTGTAATGGTTTTCTAGCTCCTTAAGATGTTTTGAAGCAGTTTAGGGCAGAGATTAAGAAGATATGTTTATGACAGATTAAATTGGGTCAAATTGGGTCCATTGGGTCAAATTAGAATTTAGAGAGGTCTGACAACTAATAAATTATGAGGTTGGAATTTAAATCCAGATCTGTCTGACCACTCTATTATTATTATTATTATTATGTTTTATTATTCATATGTGCATACAAGGCTTGGGTCATTTCTCCCCCCTGCCCCCACCAGCTCCCTTACCACCCACTCCACCCCCTCCCTCTCCTCCCCACCCCCTCAATACCCAGCAGAAACTATTTTGCCCTTATCTCTAATTTTGTTGTAGAGAGAGTATAAGCAATAATAGGAAGGAACAAGGGTTTTTGCTGGTTGAGATAAGGATAGCTATACAGGGAGTTGACTCACATTAATTTCCTGTGCATGTGTGTTACCTTCTAGGTTAATTCTTTTTGATCTCACCTTTTCTCTAGTTCCTGGTCCCCTTTTCCTATTGGCCTCAGTTGCTTTTAAGGTATCTGCTTTAGTTTCTCTGTGTTAAGGGCAACAAATGCTAGCTAATATTTTAGGTGTCTTACCTATCCTCACCCCTCCCTTGTGTGCTCTCGCTTTTATCATGTGCTCAAAGTCCAATCCCATTGTTGTGTTTGCCCTTGATCTAATGTCCACATATGAGGGAGAACATACGATTTTTGGTCTTTTGGGCCAGGCTAACCTCACTCAGAATGATGTTCTCCAATTCCATCCATTTACCAGCGAATGATAACATTTCGTTCTTCTTCATGGCTGCATAAAATTCCATTGTGTATAGATACCACATTTTCTTAATCCATTCGTCAGTGGTGGGGCATCTTGGCTGTTTCCATAACTTGGCTATTGTGAATAGTGCCGCAATAAACATGGGTGTGCAGGTGCCTCTGGAGTAACCTGTGTCACAGTCTTTTGGGTATATCCCCAAGAGTGGTATTGCTGGATCAAATGGTAGATCAATGTTAGCTTTTTAAGTAGCCTCCAAATTTTTTTCCAGAGTGGTTGTACTAGTTTACATTCCCACCAACAGTGTAAGAGGGTTCCTTTTTCCCCGCATCCTCGCCAACACCTGTTGTTGGTGGTGTTGCTATGATGGCTATTCTAACAGGGGTGAGGTGGAATCTTAGTGTGGTTTTAATTTGCATTTCCTTTATTGCTAGAGATGGTGAGCATTTTTTCATGTGTTTTTGGCCATTTGAATTTCTTCTTTTGAGAAAGTTCTGTTTAGTTCACTTGCCCATTTCTTTATTGGTTCATTAGTTTTGGGAGAATTTAGTTTTTTAAGTTCCCTATATATTCTGGTTATCAGTCCTTTGTCTGATGTGTAGCTGGCAAATATTTCTCCCACTCTGTGGGTGTTCTCTTCAGTTTAGAGACCATTTCTTTTGATGACAGAAGCTTTTTAGTTTTATGAGTCCCATTTATCTATGCTATCTCTTAGTTGCTGTGCTGCTGGGGTTCATGAGAAAGTTCTTACCTATACCTACTAACTCCAGAGTATTTCCTACTCTTTCCTGTATCAACTTTAGAGTTTGTGGTCTGATATTAAGATCCTTGATCCATTTTGAGTTAATCTTGGTATAGGGTGATATACATGGATCTAGTTTCAGTTTTTTGCAGACTGCTAACCAGTTTTCCCAGCAGTTTTTGTTGAAGAGGCTGCTTTTCTCCATCGTATATTTTTAGCTCCTTTGTCAAAGACAAGTTGGTTATAGTTGTGTGGCTTCATATCTGGTCCTCTATTCTGTTCCACTGGTCTTCATGTCTGTTTTTGTGCCAGTACCATGCTGTTTTTATCATTATTGCTTTGTAATATAGTTTGAAGTCAGGTATTGTGATACCTCCTGCATTGTTCTTTTGACTGAGTATTGCCTTGGCTATTCGTGGCCTCTTGTGTTTCCATATAAATTTCACAGTAGATTTTTCAATCTCTTTAATGAATGTCATTGGAATTTTGATGGGAATTGCATTAAACATGTAGATTACTTTTGGGAGTATAGACATTTTTACTATGTTGATTCTACCAATCCATGAGCATGGGAGATCTCTCCACTTTCTATAGTCTTCCTCAATCTCTTTCTTCAGAAGTTTATAGTTTTCCTTGTAGAGGTCTTTCACATCTTTTGTTAGGTTTACACCTAGGTATTTGATTTTTTTTGAGGCTATTGTAAATGAATTGTTTTATATATTCTTTCTCAGTTTGCTATTATTAGTGTATAGAAATGCTAATGATTTTTCTATTGATTTTATATCCTGCTACCTTGCTATAGCTATTGATGGTGTCTAGGGCTTCTTGAGAAGAGTTTTTTGGGTCTTTAAGGTATAGGATCATGTCATCTGCAAATAGGGATATTTTGACAGTTTCTTTACCTATTTGTATTCTTTTATTCCTTCTTTTGCCTAATTGCTCTGGCTAGGAATTCCCGTACTATGTTTGAATAGGAGTGAGATAGTGGGCATCTTGTCTGGTTCCTGATTTTAGAGGGAATGGTTTCAGTTTTTCTCATTAAGTTTAATGCTGGCTTGTAGGTTTTGTCATATATAGCTTTTATAATGTTGACGGTACTTTTCCTTCTATTCCTAGTTTTCTTAGAGCTTTATCATTGAAATGGCTGTTGGATTCTTATCAAAGGCCTTTTTCTGCATCTGCTTAGATGATCAAGTGGTTTTTGTCTTTGCTTCTGTTAATGTGGTTTATTATGTTTATTGATTTTCATATCTAACCACACCTTTAATTCAGAATTCCCATCATAGTAACTACATGTGGCATTCACTTCATGTGTTATCATACCAATTCTTGGATTCTTCAATGAAGGTTGGATTTTGTAAGTCCTTTAACCTGACTTGTTATTGATTGAATTATTTCATATTTATGGTCATCCATTGATTAAATATTGAAGATTTAATTTTTGCCCATCCCACTTAAACACAAGTCTGATGATTAGTGTTTTCTTTCTTGTTTGAAACAAAAATCTCCTTCCCCAGAATTTGCCTGGCTTAGTCTTGATTCTTCTGGCATTTTTAGGAAATACAAAGTCTATGGATTACCTCTACACATGACAGCTTTTTGAAATGGCTGTTGTTTGACTCCTAAAATTTTGCTTTTCAAGTTGAAACATCCTTGGTTTCTTGAGCTATTTATCAGATGATATTTTTTTTTCCAGAGTATTCACTAGTTCCTATTTGGATAGACTCCAGCTTATAAAATTCTGCTTGAAGCATTGTTTCTAAGAACTAAAATGTGATATAGGTCAGCCCCTTTAACTTCCTTTTTGTTGTGCTTTTATCCCAGCTTCCCTGTGGCTGCATCCTCTGATTGCTCCCTTTCCACTTCCTGGATCAGATCCACTCTAGAGCACAGGTTAATAAAGTCTTAAAAGAAGAATTTAAGCAACCTCAGTCCTTTCACTGGGTAGGGATGGCCATCCTTGACCTTCTCTTGTAAATTGACTTAGGACAAAATGGATTAGAGGTAACACAGGACTTCTAGGTTAGGTCCAGAGTCATATGGGTTGCACAGTGTTCCTGTGATCTAAGGTCTGAGTACCAACTGTGGGTTACTAAATGTTCTGCTTAATATAGAATATTCTCCTGACGTATTCCCATTCTCGTACAAAAAATCCTATGCTCGAAACTTGTTGTGGTCATGGGATTATATTTCTTTCTTATTATCTACTCTGAAGTGTTTTTCTTCTTCATTTTCTTATCTGCCTTAGCTTTTTTTTTTTTTAGTTATTTTTCCTACCCTAAACTCTGGGTGATCTAGGACATGATTACACAAGGACAGAAGTGACAGACACTAAGTGGGTTTCTCTTTGGATTTCAGGGAATTTCCCCACAAATTCCCTGTTAACATATGATGGAATGTGCCTCTTTTGGATTGTTGGTGGTGATTATTTGTATAGAGGTATTGTATCATTTGCTACATAGTGTGTTTTTCATCCAGCTGTTATATAACCTTCAGCTAGTTCTGACCAACTTCTTCTCTAACTGCTCCTACTGCTGCTCTAGAGAACAGATAATGTGACAAGCTTTAGTTTTCCTGTCTCCTACCCTCTGTCCTTTATATCTGTTTGCCTCTCTAACATTTGTATTTTCTATGTATTCCAAATATGGACTGATCTGTGAATGTGTATAGGGATTTATATATCTTATTTTATATGGAGTGTCCAAATCAGTTAATACTCGTCGAGATTATGTGATCAGAAAGATAAAGTAATTAGTCATGGGAACAGGAAGAGAGTTTGTTTTAAGATTATTCTTCTGGCTATTATTGATCTTAGAACTACCTGAAATTACCAGTTCTTTATCAAAGGAACATCTATTGAGTCATATATTTGTGACATTCAGTTTTTGGACTATTTATATTTGCCTTAGGTGAATTTGTTAGTTTAAATCCATTGTTTAAACTGTTTTTGAAATTTGATTCTGTTCTCTAACTTATTAATCATTACTCCCAACTCTATATCAACTATATGTGTTGAACAAATATTTTCTCTGTCTTTACCCAAATCATTGATAACAGAAACAACAATAGACAACAAAACAAAATTATAGCAGCTAATACATTTTATCAGGTGTTTTCTATAAACCAGATGACACTGCCTTCACTTGGATTTTCTCCTCCTTGTCCTTACAACAAATCTGTGAATTATATGCTCTTATTAGCAACTGTTATTCCCTGATTTTACAGATGAAAAAATTATGGCACAGAGAGGTTTAAGTTACACAAATAACATGCCACCCAGCCATCAAATGAAAGTTCTTTCAATATTCTGTCTTTTCAATGCATCAAGGCCAGTGGAGTTCTGTTTTCTGTGGCAATTTTTTTCCCTGCCATTTCTGCACAAAGACACTTCTCCTTAAGAGAGCAGTTAGGAGCAAGATGAGGAATAATTACTTTTCTCATTTCCATCTAATAATATTATGTGCCATATGCCTTGTGTAATTTGGCTTATCACTTTCTTGATTTTCTTCCTCAAACATGTCCATAAATGATCCCTGCTCCACTCCCCCATCAGTATTTTCCCATGTTGCAGTTTTTTTATGGGCCTTAACCATCCTGATATTTTTCTATTAAGCTTCACCTTTCATTTTAACCCTTCCCATATTTTAAAGACATCCATGAAAATTAAATCCCAGAGAAGGCCCCTGAAGCATCCTCTTTGTCTTTGAAATGCCTCAAATTTTTTCTCCATTCCTCCAAAAGTGACCAGAGATCTTGGGTTAGAAATTTTATTTTTAAAACTCTCTGAGTGTTTGTCTCTGAGCAAGCAATAGTTCTTTAATGGGATCTTGACCTTCTTGTGAACTTTTTGGACATTTCTTTGCTAAAATCTAGGATACATATACTTGACTCTGTTCTCCCTTTTGTCACTTAAACTAGAAGCAAAAACTAGGTTTTTTCTTTGGTTGGTTTTAATCTTCTTTCCAATTGCCTCAAACCTTGTTACCTTAGTTCAATTTTGCCTTCATTGTTATTGAGACCAAAATGAAAAATTGCTTCATTGCTGTTGCTGTGTTCAGAGAAGTGAGTGAGGTGTTTTACATATATTTTAGCATAAGAAACATTACATTTTTATAGTGATATTCAGAAGAATAGAGTTCATAATGTTTTTAATTTTCTCAGTGACTACATTCCATTCTGCTTTTTACTTAACAGTTTCAATGCTGTGGTTTGGTCAAAGGAGCTGCTGATTGGGGAAATAATTTTCAGCAAATTTCTCAGTCATGTAAATGTACAAATAACGTGCAAAATTCTTGCATACAGTATGAGAGTACATTTGTTTACAATCAGGTGAGTACTAAATCAAATTGTGTACAATAAGTGGTTCTGTTATTTTCACAATGAAAGTGTCTGCAAAAAATTAAAATGCAGCAAGTACAATGCTCCATTTATTTGGCATTTTCCAAATAAAAAAATAAACTCATTAAAAGAGAAAAAATAGATATTAAAAAATGAAAGTATTTCATTTCTTCTATGAGTTTGGCATCATTTAAACTCAACTTTATTAGGTCAGATAACATTCAACAAGGAAAGAAAAAAGTACAAACTAACATAAAAGTTTATTTTGCCTTGGCCATAGTCATTATTCTCCTCTAGTTTTTCTATTTTAACATAAGATCAAGAAATCAAAATTTTCGTTTTAATTTTTAAAGTCAAAGTCTTTTTTTCTAATAAAATTTCTTTTTTCAAGAAATTATGGTCTTTAGGGACTTAGTTTCTGGATGTTAAACGTACCTATCAATTGACCTAGTTTTGCTGCAATTGCCAAGTTGCTTTGTATATTTAAAGTTGATTTAAAAAGATAACTTTATCTTTTATGTGTTGTAGATGTCATATTTTTGTTGACTTGTGGATATCAATTTATTTTTATTGATCAATTCATCAAATACTGATTGACCACCTCTCATGTGGCCGTCCATTAGTTATTAGAGATTCATTCTTGAATACAGTTCAATGTCTGTACTCACAGAGTTGATGCTGAAATAGGGAAGAGAGAAAGATAATTAGGCAACATCAATCCATTGAGCTATTGATATTGCTTGGATAGGGGCAGACACAGGTATTATGGGTCCCTATTTAACTCAGTCTTTGAAGTTTAAGATACGGCTTTACAGAGGATTTGACATCTCTCTTTGACCACAGGGCTTTCATAAGTTGTTCCTTTTGCTTCAAAGGAATATACAGAAATACTTATTTGCTGTTTTTTTTTTAATGCCTACTCTGTGTCAGCTAGGCCCTGGCTAGAATCAGACATACTTCTAGATCCTTTAGGAGATTATAATCTAGTTGGAAGAGATATACACAGAAGCTATTATAAATCACTATGAATTATTTTCTATAATACCTGAATATTATTTTCATTCTAGCATAGTTTTGATTTAGTAATTGATACTGAGGTTAATATACAAAAGGAAAGTTTCTTAAGGAGAACTTCTTTTCCCCTGACTGCTCACCTGTCACAGATCTTACCAGAATTAAAGAGGCTTTGTTCTGAAGGAGAATTGCTGTCACTAGTATTTAAAATAACTCATAGGAGAGAAGTTAGTTATTAGATTATAGTGTTACCATGTCACGTCATTGTCACAGCTATATCACTAAAAGGTTTTATAACTCCCTGCTCTCCTCTTGCCTACTTAAATTTGGTGAAATACTATCTACAAAGAAGGGAACAAAATGTGGTACAAATGAATATAATTTCCACTTAAGATAATGAACAAATAAGTAAACTCAGTTGCAGATTGATGTCTATCTCCTATTAAAGATTCAACTCAAAGATTTTTTTTCTCAAGCTAGATTCTGAAAAGACTCTTAAGAAAAAGGTATTCCCTAAAAGTTCATACATAATTCAGCTGAATATAAGCTCATAGTTGCTGTTGTTTCCCAAAAGGAAGGTCATAAATTCATAAAATACTTCTATTTGCCATGTGTCATTTGCAAGAAATCTGGAAAAACAAGAGATCTGAAATGGCCATAATTCACATTTCTTTTTTCCCCTCCTTTGCTATTATCTTGGGTAGAAGGAGGAAAGAAATCACCTCAAATGTAATGAACATGACTCAGTAGATACAATCAGTATCTCATAGCTAACCCTTAATGACATGATAATTTTCTCAGATGTTTAGTGCTTTGGATCAGATATGAATAAAGAAACCTATTATGTTTAGGAACAAGGTAGGAAAAGACTCAGCCTTATAGAGGCTTTTTAGCTCTATTTTGTTAGCTCTTTGCACACATATGACTATTACAAGGTTGATATATTTTGTAGTTATACATACAATACAATTATTACATTGTGTAGTATTTTTTTCATTTCTAAAATTATCCTTATAATTTATGGTGGCTGGAATTTTTATGTTTGGTCTTAAATGTTTTAAAATTGGACTTGAATGTAATAAAAATGTAGTAGGGAGACTGACTACTCTTTCTTATCTAAAGTAAGAGTGTAATAGTAGATACAATAACATTTTTTTTCTTTTTTAAGGCAAATGTATCCTTGGTAAATATTGTTGAAGGATTTTGAAGTCTTTGCTTAAAAAGTGGAAGGCAATATAATTAGTTAAAACCTCAACCAAGGACCTCTCTGTTACAGATTACAAACCTGAAAAAAATCTACTGCCAAGGTGATATCAGCTCTAAAATGAATAATCTGAAGTTAGGATAAAATTATTTATAATTTGAAGAATTATAAATATAATTTTGGGATATGTTAATGAAAAAAATTATTTATAGTGATCAGCCTCTAGATTCAGCAATTAGATAGTTGAAGCAAAATTTTGCTGCTCTAATGCCTTATAATTTGGAAAGTTATTGGTGAGAGATATTATTATTTATAATGAAAGACCTTAGATTCAGTAATTCATTAGTTGAGCAAAATTTTTCTCCTCAAATGCTTTATTTATTTATTTTTGTGGTGCTGGGGATCCAACTCAGGGCCTAACGCATGCCAGGTAAGTGCTCTACCACTGAGTTACATCCCCAGCCCTCTAAAAAGCTTTTAAAAGTAGAGGGAATAAACCAATTCCTTTTTACTGAGTATGCTGCTTGTAACAATGTAAAAATTCAACCAAATAACTAAAAATCTTAATATAAGGCCAAAATCTTACTAAAAGTAACTTTCTATGCTTGCTTTTCCCTTAACAGACATGTCTTTCTTTGATAAAAGATTTAGTGGAAAAACACATTATCATAGTAATTGCAATTGCATTTGGATTGGCAGTTATTGAGGTACAGTATAATCTTACATGATTGACTTTTCATCTATTCCATTGTTTATTGGTTCTTTTAACAAATATTTATGGTGAGTCAAATTAAAACAAATAAACAAAGGAACAAAAAACCCAAGTGCTTTAGAAAAGCACTGGGTACCAGCTGCCCAAGACCCAACATCTAGATCAACCTTGAGTCTGGGAGGGTGGGGAATTACAGTCCTATGAGCTAAGCATGATGGAGGCTACTATTCCAAATGACCTTTCTATTCAGAAAAAAACAGAATTAATTTCTGCACAGCTTTTAGTCCTAGATATTCTTTTCCTGTTGAAAAGTAGCACAAGGATTAAAATTTCCTAAAGTAAGACGGAAACACACAAACAAAGGAAACCCTTACAATTTCTTATCTCCTGTCATGATTTTGAAATTGAAAACAAGAACTGTTCTCAAGAGCATGTGGGAGCTATTTTTGCTATTTTTCTGTCATTCCATTCTAGAGAAATCTAAGAAGCTCTAAAAATCAGGGACAATTTGTTTCTGATATTTTTCAGCTTCTGTACTATGAACTCACTTGGAGACATTTTCAAGGAAACTGATGAGGCTATGCATTACTCTCATTGAGTTAATTATTGATGTTGAAAACATTATCCCATGTAGGAGTTTTATACTGATAAACTTCCTTGGCATGGTTCTTTAGTGTAGGAAGGATACATTTTACACAACCTAAAAAGATTTTTAACAAAATTGTTAAAGAGAAGCATTTATGGAATTATTTCAGATCTTGTGTAATTTAGGTATCATGTGAGTGAAATTCACTCACAATCCTACATCAGTGCATTAGCAAGAATTCAAACAATGTCAGGTATCTCCCTGGTGAATGCCTCTGAAAGTTGGTGAGCTCAGCTGAGTAATTTGTTTCACTCTCATGGAGTGCTATGCAATGTCCCCTTGGGCTTTCTGTTAGCTTTCTACCTCTTACTTGTGCCACATCACTGCCGGGCAGGAATTTTAGTTCAGACTAAAGCAATTTAGTCCTCTAAGTGGTCATTTATAAGTTACTGGTAGAATTTCCCAGCCAACTATTAGAGAAAGGGATCACTAGTGGAAAACTGAGTATTAGTTTCTGGTAGACCAAATTAATAGATCTAATTGTGAAGCATTCTTTGTTGGTAGGATATGGCCAGTTTTCTTTGTATCACATATGTGATGATAATCAAGTTGTACTGTGCATTAGGTCTGTTTCTCTTGGTTCTGGCTTTGTAAAATGATCTTTGTTTATTTACTTTGTAGTCTAAATTTATGCTAATTTAGAAATAAGAGCTAATGGCCGTAGAGATGAATGAAAATTGAATATATATGTATATATGTGCATATACATATATATATATCCTCATATTTGCAGAAACATACAACATATATACATATCTTGGTAGAGTAGGTTTTAAATGAATGATTGGAGCTGGGAAGTATAGATCACCAACATAGCGTTGAACATAATATGTGTAAGACCCTGAGTCTTGATTCCCACCACCATAAATAAATATGATTGGGAGCTAAACACAGTGAAAGGCCAGCTTGGGCTATATAGTGGCAACTTGTCTCCCCCCCCAAATAAACCACTAAAAACAACAAGAAAGATTGGGAGAGTAGACTTTAATGAGGTATTCAATATTAAGTGTTAAATTTCATGTTAGACCCAAAACAGATACTCAACTATGACTGTCTACAAGTTACAGATGCTTTTAAGAAGCTTATTGAAAGCAGAGCCCCCAAACAATAAGGACATAACCAATTGGGGAGATTGATTATCTTTCATATCATAGCCAAATGCATTGCCAAGAATCTAAATACAACTAGTAGAAAATAAGATTGTAAGAGGAAAAGTGAATTTCAATATTTTATGAAATTGGTATACTTCATGTATTTGTTGCATGATTAGACATTTTATTGGTTCTTCTAAAGATCTGTACAGGGAAATACCTTAATAAAATCCTATAGCACAGTAATTTGCAGGTATGGAATTTGTATGGTATTGTCATGAAATGCAACCATTTTTTGAGTTATACCAGTTAAATAAGTGTGATTTCTAGACTGTCTGTAGAAATGGTAAATAGTTGGCTCAAAGAACTATTTGAAACTTTTTTTTGTTCAGTGTCTCAATCTAAAGCCTACCTTCTCTCTAGGGTTTTAAGAAAAAGAAAATCATGTTATATTTCTTCTTCCTTTATTCAAAAAGGAACTTTGAAAATAATCTGCTATCCAGGCTATAAAAATATAATGCCAAAATGTACTTTATTCTTAGAATCATTAGGATGAATTGCCTAACATCTTTGTTTCCCAAGTTCAAATTCAAGAAAGCAAAAAGATACATGGAGAGAAATCTCCTCTAAAATCTATCTATCTACTATCGATCTATCTATCTATCTATCTATCATCTATCATGTGGTACTATGGTTTGAAATCAGAGCTTCATTTGCAATGCAGGCACTTGAGCCGTACCTACAGTCCATTTTGCTCTGGTTATTTTGGAGATGGGAGTCCCATAAAATATTTTCCTAGGCTGGCCTTGAACCTTGATCCTCCTGATCGTAGCCTCCCAAGTAGCTAGGATTGCAAGCATGATCTATCAGCACCCAGCACCACTAATATTTTTAAGGAAACAGAAGTAATCATCTCCTCACAGAAAATATATTCAGATCATCTTTACAGAAAATGTATGCAGGAAAAAGAATCCTCTCATACTTAGACCTTTGGCATTGGCTTTGATGGGGTAGATCAGTATTTACTTTGAAGGTTTTGTTCTTCTCAGATTAGATGTTAGGAATCTATACAAAATACTTTGTTCTGTATGGTAAGTTTATCCACATTTTGAGAATTCTCATTATTTACACTTAAATAAGCAGATTATCTTAGCTCTCCTTATTTGACTCTAGCAACTTATAAGCACAAAAAAGTGGTCAGTACTGTCTCTCTTTAATTTAAAAAAAGTCTATTGATACTCTGTAGTCATTACTTGCAAGAGGACAGAAGATCCCACTAATAGAACTTCCTGTCACTTAAAAGGGGAATAGTGTTAGAAGAGAAATAGTAATTTTACCAAATTTTTTAGACTGTTACAGAATATGGGAACCCATGCATGCCTTTTGGCAAGTTTTAGCTACATTATAAAATGATGAATCTCTTATTTTTTGTTTTCCTAAACCATCATAAATGTTAGTTTTGGAGACAGAAGTGCTAGAAAGTGTGATATTAGTGTAAATAGTAGGTTCAAAAACCATTTTGAAACTTTTTCTTTCAGTTTCTTGATTGAATGCTGCCCTCCCTCTGCATTCTGTCTGCCCTGTTGTTGAGTGATAAGCTTCAATTTTAAGGGTGTGGCAATAAAAGATGACAGTTGCCTTATTTCATTACTTTACCCATTTTCTTTATTCCTTTCTGACATTTGTCCCCCAAACTTAAAGTTTGTCAAGGCAAAAAGGTTAAATTTCAGACCTGAATTTGAGGGTATTCTGAGTGAAAATCATTACTTCAGTAAATTGATGCCTATTTTTTTCTTTTTAAGAAGGAAGAAATATTGGGCAATAACTCTCACTTGAATTACATTTTCAGAAAGGCATTAGCAAGCAGAGAGCAACACAGGAGGAGTGTTTGTGATGACTCAGCATAATGGCACCTGACTCTCCTCCTGCCTCCCTTCAAAGAGGGCTGGTAGGGAGGAAACTCGTAATGCACGCAGGTCCTTTCTGTCATCATCAAAGTCACAGAATGCAGGTCACCAACTGCAGAGCCAAGTAGAACAAGTTTTAGAGTCCCTTATTCTTGCAAAAGCTAATGAGATGGAAATTATGCCCCACATTTTCAGTTGTGCTTTGTCACTTCAAAGGAATTTCCTGAATCAAGCTATTTCCCATAGTTTAGAAGCATTTTGTTTTAAAAAAGTTACTTCATTTTTTCCACTCCTCTAGGTAATGCCTAGCATTACCTCTCTATAGCAAGAGAAATTTTAGACTCCTTGATTTTTATGCAGATGATCTAAGCCAGATGACCATAGTCTTTCTTTGGAAGCAATAGGTATATTTAGCTCTCAGAAGCCTGAGTTCCCCAGAGCTCCAGGGAAGATGCCCTACAGAAAAATGTGTACATTGGAGAAGGGAGGGGGGGGTCCTCTGGTGGCATCAGATATGGCACAAATAAGTAGGGCCCTTGTAGGATGATTGGCCAACTGAAAAACCCTGATTAAAACAAACACAAACACACACAATTTACAGTGTTGCTCTAATCCACTGGAGTCTAATTTTCCAGGATAGATTCATGCTACTTCCATGCTAATTCCATTATTTTTTTTTCCACTAGATACTTGGTTTGGTGTTTTCTATGGTCCTCTATTGCCAGATTGGAAGCAAATGAACCTGTGGATGTGTCAAGCTATCATCAGCCAAGCTCCTTTAAAATTTTGCTTTGGCTTTGTGACTTCAAATGTATGAGTGCTGTATATATCAGGAGCAGCTGTCTTATTAAAATATCTCATTTAACTAGATTGACAGGTATCTTCCACACATACTGAACATATTTAAGATTTGAGGGATGTAAGAAGAATAAAATGAATGTCTATTTTTACTCAAAATAAAAAGAACATTGTTCACATTGCTGCTTTTTTGTGTCTGATCATTGTGTTCAGGTAGTTCTATGCTTACAATGTTCATCTAGACCCACCCAGGGGAATAATCTTTGTTTCCAAGTGACAGGGTCATAGATAGTTAAGGCAGTGAATACGGGATTTTCAGAAACAAGACTCTCTTTTGTGAAGTGTAGCAACCATTGGTGATAAGATTGAACTAAGCCTGAAGTGGAAATACTGGAGAGTGGTCCAGCTGCAAGAGTACCCATCTCCTTTCTTCTGTGTCACTGACTGCTAATAGTGTCTTTCTTTTACTAACTGTTTATTGTGGGAACAAGAAAATCTGAGTGTCCATCTCTCAGACACTGAATCTCTGGTACTTCTCTGGATATTCCTCTGGGACACAACAGTTATAACTATGTTTTCTTTCTAACTCTCAGAAACATTCTGAATTTTACTTTCTACCGAAGTGTAACATGTATGCAATAAATGTTAATAAACCTTAAGAGTGTATGTGTGTACCTTTGTAAGTACTATACAGGGAATACTCATTCATGCCATCTCCCATGCTGGAGGTGGCTCAAGCAGACTTGCCAAAGCAGATTGTACACATATGTATCTCTCCCCAAATCTGTGTTCAGTAGTGTCACATTGGTAGCTTGTAATCTACCATGGTGGGAGTATTTGCACCACAGAAATTTGCAAATGCTATAAAATGAGGGCTTTTTTTGAGTGCTGGTTGGTAAACGTGTACCAGTATACTGACCTTGTCAGTAAATATTTCCCTGATTCCTTTGGCCATTGATTCATTTTGTCTGATTTTAAACTATCACTAGATGTAAAAATAAGGTATGCATTCTTCTTTTTCTCAGCACTTTGTCTGTGATATTGTTGCATATAATATAGTTTATTCTTATTGCTATGAAATGTTCCATTATGTATGAATATATCACAATGTATTTATTTATTCATTCTTCTGTTGATGGGCATTTGAGTGCACTATTATGAATAAAGCTGCTATAAACATCCCTTTACATGTGCTTTGATATATATATGCATTTTGGGATATATATATTCAGGGATGGAACTGTTTGGTATATACACATTTAGCTTTAATAGATTCTGTCAAGAAGTTTTCTAAAGTCATTGTAATAGTTTATACTTATACTGGAAAGGTATGATAGACACAATTCCCTCTTTTGAGAAGGAGAAAAAGTTAAGGAAGGTAGTTATTATCAAGTAAATCAGAGTGAGTGGTCAAGGAGCGAGAAATTTGGGCAAGCTGTACTGGGTTAGCCACCCCTATTTTGTGCTCCCTGTTATTGATAAAAATCACTATCCATCTGTGAGTACATGTCATCTTCCAGGAACTATTTGAGAAGCTATACTTTCATTACCTCATTTTTCTCTCCATATCCTGATGAAGTAGTTACTGTTATTAGCCTCATCTTTCCAGGTAAGAAAACTGAGGTTTAGAGAAGTTAGGTAACTTGCCCAGACTCAAACAGTTATTAATTGGAAGATCACAGATGTAGACCCTAACAAGTGCCACTCAAATACTGATTGCTCATAGTGTTGGCTTCCTTAGAAGGTATCAACCTATAAATTTGCCATATTTCATTATGATTATATGCTCAGATGTTTGCCTCTGTTAGTACACTGAAGCTCCTCAAAGACATTGATCGTTTCTTGTTTGTATTATGTAACAGTACACAATGCTTGGAATTGGCTCAGTAAATTATTGCTAAAAAATAAGAGTTAGATTTACTGAGATGCCTAAACATAGTATAAGCACTTTATATAGATTAATTTATTTAATCCAGAACCCTCTTCTTAGGTTAGTACTATTAGTAGACCCTTTTTATAGACAAGAAAACTAGGGTCTAGAGAGATTCACTTACTTTTATTAGGACTGATGGCTGTTAAGTGAAGGAGCTGTGATTCAGTCTCATATGCTCCTTATGACATGTCATTTCATCTTTACAATGTTGAGAGAAACAGTAAGAAAGCGAATATTAATGTGTCTTTTGCATAGTATGTATTAGGGGCTCAATAGATAATATATGGTATCAATGATATAAAGAACCCAGTCAGCATTGGCAGAAAAACAGAAACCCTCCAGCCATTTCAAACAATGGGAATATAGGACAAGAAACTACTGGGTTAGTCAGCGTGGACTGCCATAACAATATATAGCTCACTGAGTGACTTAAGCAACAGACATTTCTTTTCTCAGAATTCTAGAGGCTGAGAATTTCAAGATCAATTTGCTGGCAGTCAGTTCTTGAAGGGGGCTGTTTTTCTGGATTCTAGACAACAACTTCTTGCTGTGTTTTCACATGGATGGGAGGTGGAGAGCATGAACTTTATATGTCCTCATGAGGAAAATAATCCTATCAGCTCAAGATTCTTCCCTTTATTTCAAATACCTCCACAATGGGAGATGAAGCTTCAACATATGGACTTTAGGGGGACCCAACTCATTCCGTAGCAGTTAGTTACAAAGATGGTGGGAAAAGTAAGAAGCCTAATGGGAATTCAAAGTAAACCAGAGATTAGCAACAGTAAGAAGTTGCTACCATCCTTACGACTGGAAGGACAGAAAAAATGCTATCAGACTCCAGGATCCAGGGCCACCTGGTAGAAGATGGAACCATGGCAAGAACCATAGAGGAAGGATTTGTCTAGCAGGAATAGGAGCCATAGCTGTTGAGTAAGAGCTACACAACAGTTATTATCAGAACAGAGGAGACAGAGAAGTGCCGTGGCTTCTTCCTCTCTGCCCACTTTAAACGTTTGCCAGACCTCCATTGGCTGAACCCACCTAGAAGCCAGAAAGCAAGAGAATCTAAGAATAGCTTCCACTGATACAAAGCAGAACTGGGACTGGAAAGAACTGGATTGAGAATGGACATAGCAATTGGAGAATTAGCGAGCAGGCACACAGGTACAGAAGTTTTTTGAGAAAAGGGAATAAAAATGGTGAAAAATATAATGAGGATTTGGCATTTTAGGAATATAGACTTCACACAATTGTTCTTAACAGGGGGCCATTTTGCCGCTAAAGGATATTTGTCAATGTCTGGAGACCTTTTTGGTTATCACCATTGGTGTCAGAGGGGGTGTTACTGACATCTGGTGGGCAGAAGCTAGGAATACTGTCAGGCATTCTACAATGAACAGCAACATGCCCCACAGCAGAAATTATCCATTCCAAATGTTAGTAGTGCTGGGTGGAGAGACCATATTTAGAGAATCACGTATAAGTAATTATACATGTGACTTGGAAAGTGAATTAGATTAGGGTCAGAAGTAGATGTAAGTGAGCTCTGACAACTTGCTGGCTTTGTGACCCTTGTAAGACACTTAACTTGAATTTTCCCATCTTTAAATTAGAAATTTTAAGTTTCCTACCATTGCTAATAATCTGTGTATATTAACTTCTGAAGTATGCTTAGATTCCATCTGTAGGCATTTTAAAAGCAGAATATTTATTTTCTGTGGTAGTTCACATAGGTTTTAATCTTGTTTCAGGTATTGAACATGATTATGAGAGAAGGTTTCACTCTCTTGAAGGATATTAATTCAGATCTAAGCTCAATTCAGAGTGAGTTCATTCTTTACCTTCATGCTTCCCAAATTAAACCAGAATATTAAAAATACATTAAATTTGATTAAATTACTTAAGAATAATAGCAAAAACAGAACAAAAAGAAATCCCCTCAAATTGTCAATTCAATGGAAATGGAAATAATCTTCCAATTCAGAGAAATATAGGAATTTTCTTCATTATGTTTACAACCATATAGCTATACTAATTTAAATAAATGAAATTTATACTAAAACTTGGTAGATGCTTCTCAAATCTGTCCACTTCTCTGCTTCTGTCACTACCACTCAATCTGACATCTCACAATTCCTTCTGAGGTTGGATTGTTGCAGTAATCTTTTCGTACATTTATTTTTTTGCTTCTTTATATCCATTCTCCGTGGTGCTACAGGAGTGATATGCCTCAAAATCAGATGTTATCATGTTATATCACTCTCCCAAGTTTACAGATACTTTCATGGTCCACCATAGACTACAAGACCTTTCCTAAGAGCCAAGTCCACCTTTCCTTATTCATCTCCAGACATTCTTTCATGCACACCTCATGAGCCTTTGACTTTCTGCTCATCTTTGCCAGGTTACTGCCTATGCCACTAATGACCTTCATGTTCATTTAGTTGGGTTCCTTCAAGGTCTAGCTAAAATGTCACCTCCTCTATTACATTCTCCCTGGATTCAGTCAGGACTATATACCACTTATCCTAACATGTTTTGGCTCATTTTTTGTTGTCTGCATTTTATTATAAACTCCCCCAAGTATGCCTGAGCTCCTGAATTGAATTTGTACCCTAGACCTTAGCATGATAAATTAATAACTCAATAAAGATAAATTGTCATTACTATCATTTGGTCCATTTGAAGAAAGATATCCATTCTTACCTTATGATGATATTTCATTGAATATCAATGCATTTATTCCTAATAATAATAAAAATAGATAAGTTATGTAATAACTGTTACATGTCAGATACTATTTTAAAGAGTTCACTTGTTCAATTCTCGCAGCAATTCTGTGACTAGAATTATTCTTAGTTTTTTCAGATCCATATGTTATATTATTAAACAACTACACCTTATTATGTCTGTTGAAGAAAAGCTGATTTGACTAAGAACTAGAATTTTAGATTCTTTCCAGAGTAGCTGAATTGCTGAGGATATTGTGTGAACATCAGAGTATACTGACTATTGCCATAAAGCCAAATGGAGTGGTTTCCTCCCCCCACCTTTATACTATGCGTATACACCCTTCATAAGGTCTATCCCACTAAATTTCATAGATGTGTTTCCTTGTCTTCCTCTTTAATCTTGGCAGAAACTTTAAACCAGAAATGTGTCTTTTTTATAACTTTGTGGTCTACCCATAAATAACTT